TATATATATAACTTTTGTCACAAGACCGTAGTGTAGACCAGTCAGAATAAGTAGATCCCCGTTTGATTCACTGCGAGTCCACTGTTGGTAGAAACAATAGTGTGCGAAGTTTGATAACGGAACAACATGGCTTCATCAGACAACGTCTCTGGATGTATATCAGGTTCCAAATGCGTCCGACCAATCGTGTAACAAAAGTAACAATTCCGGCCTTCAAGCTGGTGTGCTCATAAACGACGTAACAAAAGCAGTTTTAAGCTAAAAATGATTTCATTTATTAGCTCCGCCGCGTGTGAAACAATAAAAGAAGATAGCAGACTCCGAGATCCTTGATTCACTTGATGCATTTCGGTAGATCGGCTTGGTCGTTCGGACGTTGTTGTGGTCACCATGTTCTGTGGACAACATGTGAAGATATTTTGTTGGTGGGAAGAAAGCAACCTTCGCAAGATCTTTCTAGACAAAGTCAAATTCCAAATCATCACCCCGTCTCATCACTCACCAAGTCTAATTTGATATAGGCAAACAGTACTAACCGAGAGCCAAAAGCCCCAAAATATGAGTACTGGTGACAGAAGTAGAGACTAATAAGTATGAGTTATACGAACTGAGTTTACATTCGTCGCCTCTACTTCAAGAATCTGCCTTCCGTCTGTTCGGTTATTCTAGTGAGAATATATTATTTTCCGCCCAGGATACGATGGCGTTTTCGGTCGGTTTTGATCTGTGTTTAATTTTACAGTTTTTCTACATGATTTCGTGGGGGTTTTGTCGCGATTTGTAGTTACGTAAGGTAGCGATTCGACTCGTTTGTGGGAGAGTCTCATGGGAATGCATTGGAGCGTCATTCAGCACAGAAACAAGCGTGCCTATAAGTTATCTACAGGTTCAAACATGATTTAACCCGAATGTCGCGCAAAAAAGCCTAAAATATGAAGTGCAAAATTACTTAAACTACAGAGATTCCAAATTTCTCTTAGACCGTTTTCCATATTTAATCAACCGCTATAATGAATATTTGCTAGGGTGTCCTATCTCATTTTGGGGCGTGCTTGTGTCTCAGTGTGTGGTCTCACCTCAGCAAGCTGAGCTTTACATGTTCCTTCCTTTGACCCCCCTTTTCAACCTCCCCCCACGTCTTCCACTGCCCCAGTCACCTCTTTCCATCCTATAGATAACAATAGCACTCGAACAAATAGCCCTTCGTAAATGATTGGACAAATACCGTTTATCGTACGCTGGTAGACATTGGAACAGAGTATTCGAGTTGTCTGAGGGCGAGGCTGCAAGTGTACCGATTGGTGCGAAGTGCAGCCTACAACTGATTGGTTGGTGCTCGAACAGGTCCTTCATATAAGCACCACAGGGTGGCGTGCCATGCGGGCTTTTTGAGAAACAAATGCCGCAATTCGTTACGCAGAACAACATAGCTGGATATCTCTCGGCCAAACACTATTGAGAGCAAAATGCAGTCAATATTTTTGTGCCTGATAATTGTGACCTTATGCATGCCGAAGTGTCTTGGCATCTCGAGTGTGCAAATGCCGCAAGACGTAATGCTGAATGATGCCCCTTCCGCACCCGGATACAGCTTACTTCGCAATGATATAACAAGGCAAAATCTCCGTGTAGTACGGGGCCTTTCATCTCCGTTATTGCATGTCCACCTTCCTATTCAAATGAGGGCTCAGAAGGGCCAGGTTTGTCGTGTTGAGGTAGAAGAGTGTCAACCTTTGTTATCAATGGTGGGGCATTTGGAACCAAAAGTGAGTTACCCTGCCCCCTTTTATGATTATACAGTGGGCTACTTTAAGATGTTTAATACCTTATAAGTAATGGATGTCTTGAGGGAAATATTCAGACAATAGTTTCTTGAAGTCCTACAAACTTTCCGCACTCAAATTGACTCACATAGTCTATGAATGCGGCTTTCAGTCTGTACACTGAATGCCAACCTCATCATCGGTCTTTGGTGGCTTACGAACGAGTTCATCTCCACACTAGTGTGCGGAAATCAGATGTCCGAACATTCCAGGATATCAGCAAAGAGCTCGCCGATAAGTCAGGACGGACCGATGTATTGTCAGGTTGAAATATCATCAACCGGACTTTCTGTACAATGAGTGGGAGAAACAATCTTCAAGCACCACTTCCCGCATGTATTAAGAAAAATGCAGACAGTGAATACAATAACGATCTCAGCCGTCAAAAATGCTCTTCGACAGGAATTCGGATACCGCAAATTTCCGCCCGTTTTCCGTTATGCCAGTAGTTAGCTCGGTGCCCCGGACTGTCCACACTATGGTCTTCACCAATATTGAATATCGCGTCTTTCTGTCATACGGTGCAAGTGATTCCTAATCTGTGTTTCTAGCTGTTTGTTTTCCTAGATTTGTGCTACATATATGGTCTGGTTATCAATGAGATCTTCCTCATCTTTGAGTGTTTTAAAAACGGAATCATATAGAGCTTGGTGGACGCATATGATGTGAAAAACCATTTTCAGAGATCATCCCTAGTTTAAATTGATCGTTAGCATGTACGTAATCGTCAGGAACTTTTGGTTCAGAATGTGAAACAAAAATTTGGCAACCCATAGTTCTACCGAAGTCTTACCTAAAATTACTGGCCAGAAAATTTTCTTCACTCTTGATTTATCGTCATTCGATCTGGGTCACGCAGAGTTCGTTGATTAGTCAACACCCTTACAGACATCAGTTTCTAATCGGTCTTTTGTTGCAAAGCAAGAAATTGCGTACCAGTCTTCAGCTGATTAAAGACAACTTCCAGTTTATATCTTTGTAATGTACTACTCATAAGGTTGCTGAAAATCCGTCGATAGCCCACGACCGGTATCGCCCTTTTTGGGGCTCATCATGTAGACGCAGTCCCCAAGTTTCCGTCAACCTTATGTTCTACTTGAAACCAAATTACACATTACAAATATATACGTGTATCACGATATCTCGAATATCGTAGCGACCGAAACATGAGGCGGCCTGGTGCAGCACATTCAGTGGTCGCTCGAAAAAACCAAATTAGTTTGCAAATGAGTGTATATTCGCTAACTTCCAGTTTGCTTGTAATCAAAAGTCTGCATATTTGGTAGTGTTAACCAATAATAAGGACGGCAAAATCATGATCGAATACCTGAGCGTTCGGAGTGCAACTTATGACCAGAAAAAGATCTGACCTCAATAGCGTTTTGGGACTTTAGGAGCAATCGCTATGATGTTCTTGGAATTCTGTGCGCAGCGATTCATAATAAGTGATAAAAACGGACAAAGTTCGAGTGTTCCATACATCGTAAATTGTATTTCCCGAACAATCCTTTTCTTATAACTGGTTTTGCCTCCTTCGGAGATTGTGATTATGACTAGGAATTTCGTAAACTTTTAAGTATATGTTAGACAACTGACAAGAAACAAGACAGTTTATAAACAGTTTATAAGTAGTTTATAAATCATCACAATCTGAGTCGGTCTGCTGCCTCACATGAACATTTTGCGAGCGAACAAGCTAAAGTTAGAAGTGGACCTTGAATGCACACGTTGTTTCCAGGGCTAGAATGTAGCTTACACTTGCTGGGTATAAATGAAAATAATTTTGCCTTTAAAGATGCTAAACGAAGGCCGGCTATTCTCCCATAATTTTATTTCACATTGTTGAAGCTAAATTCAGATCGACATCAGAAGTACAATTGATGAGCAGAATCTCTACAAGGTTGGTTGTGTCTTGCCCAAAACTGGAACGGAGTTATGGTTAGGTTGATTGAAAACACTTGGCAAAGTTCCTGTCACTACATCCGCAACTGACAGCCTGTTTAAATCAGGTGCCACGAACTGCGGTTCACCTACCATCGGGTTAGTTTACTTAGGTCTTTAAATCAACTTTGTTAGGATGCCAAGTAACGCCATTTAGAATGCTTCAAAACAACCTTGAGCAAATTGCGAGGGTCAGAAACTGGTCGACAGTGCACGTGTTTTTTTCGTTTGTGCGTGTGTGTGTGCGCGTGTGTCCACCAGCATCTTAAATCAACTACTGCCACTACTTCGAATCATTCGGTTGTCATTACCCAGGTGTCCATCTTGGTCGTACTTGCACCGCTGTTTTGTGATGTGTTGTGTTTTGGGGCTGACCAAACAGGGTCACACATTAGTGTGTTGGTCTAGTGCTGTTGCTGGTCGCTTGGTTGGCTTGTTATCTGATCGTGAATGAACAGATGTGCGGCAATGCACTCGTTTGTGTGGATTCTCGTTTGCATCACTGCCGATGGAAACACGAACGAGCGCAAGCTGTCCGACAGAAGTTTGCGGATTGTTGTTTCTGACAAGTGTGATTTGAAAATTTGGTTAAAACGTCTGAGAAACCGGTTCACCAGGCTCTATGCGCCATATATGACTGCTAGCAAAACGGACAGTATAGTTAACCGGAAATATTTTACCATTTTACTGAACTGGATTAAAACGCATTCGATAACATAGCTGTTACTCTGTGCGGTCTAAACTAATCAGTTGATTTTGGTGTTGTAGGTATCTAAATTGCGCAGCATGTTTGTACAAACTTAAAGTGTTTTGAACAGTTGTTACCTAATTGTAGCCAGTGTGGTGGTTAACCGAAAAGTTTCATTACTAGGACGTATTCTACTTTTAAAGATGTGAACCTTGAATGAGAGGCCCCTGTGGTTCGTCGTCCTATTCGGTGTAACAGCCGAGATAAGATAAGTACTGAGATGCTACTACCGGTCTCCTAACTACGCAACGGAAGAATTCCGCTTGCAGCTGATCTTTCTTGTGTTAAAGGAAAGGTCATGTAACCTGTAGATTTGTGCTTTCTCTCTAGCTTAAGGTCACAAAAGTGCTTCTCCTGTGGGAAGAGCTTCTGGGTTAAGTTGATGAAGAAATGCGAAATGAGTTCTAGTCAGTGTTCTGGGTATGCTCCCAGAAAGCACTTGACCATTCATAGCTAGACCGCAGAGTTTCTACTACTGTAGAGACTACTAATATGTCCATCTTTACTTCCCCGGGAATTATGCGTCCTATTTAACGAACCATATTAGGTGACTCAGTACAGTTAACTCTAGTCTCCCCGTTCCAGAGTTTGAGTTCACGCGCTCCTCATGCCATATCGAACCGTTGGTAAATTATTTAATAAGAAAATTCACCACAAAGAATTTTATCCGTATCCTAACAACCTTGTGGTCTGTTTGCTTCGCCATTCCTGAATTACACGGAGTACGTCAAAAGCCGTATCGTGCCATTTCAAATCCTAAGCTGATTGAATATTTCTAATGAGCTTTGCCACGGTTTACATTTGGCAGGTTGACTTAAATGAAAGCGATATAGAAAACACTGCTCATGCTTTCTGTGAATATACGCAATTTTACTTGTTTCTTGCGAAAAATATCACCCGTACCCTAATTAAAGCGTCTAATGAAAGGCGATTCCGACTAAAACCAGGAACTCCTAGCCTGCGACTGTGAATCAATCTTTGAACAAAAAGCAGAGCGTCATTTCTGGGTTCCAGAAACCGTCTGCTAACTTCCTTCTCTCCGTACTGTCATGTGCTGTTAGACTCCCAGTTTGCGTGACTTTCAAAGGATATAATTGATAAAAACTTATTGGACTGGTTTTGATATTATTTTTTTATTTCGAACCTGTGCGTTTAACATTGGAAACCCCCAAAAAAATCACAGGCTTTATGAAATACTCTTCCGATGAACTTCGCATACAGCAGTTGTAAATTTAACCCACCTTCTGACAGAGTTGCACCTAGTGTGGAGATCTAGAAGAAGGGTCAGGTTGACATCCATAAACCACAGCCGACAACTGCAGTGAAATCCAGTTACACAAAAAATAAACAAAGACCTAGTCTCAACTGGTGTGCTGACTCGGCCACAAACATAACCCAAAATTTAAAATAGCACAAATTACTGCTACTGCGATTGTTTGAGTTTGACATCGTTATCTCAACCATGAATGCGAAAATACTGATGTAAGATGCATCAAGCTGTGTCGTCTAACTGTTTTGTGGCTCCCGTTTTGTTTTACCTTCTCGTAGAGGATGAGAGCTATTAATTGGTACCTTCAGTTGGGTTTCGATGGGCAACTTTTGAGACCATAGCGTACACGTCTACGTTTAGAGCGATGTAGTTGTATATATGTCAAGCAGACTTGGTCACTTAGGATTCAAGTTATCGCTTTAATGTGGATCGTACCTTTTCTGGATGCAACTGGAAGACGAAAATAGTTCCGACAATGAATAGGGGTTACTCCTTCAATGCTGTGGAATCTAAGATACACTGCAGCAAATGACGAATTTAGCTTTGATTAGTTAAGCGCCCATCACGGGTTTGAATAAAATGGTATCGCCAATTATTACCCTGACTGTTTGACGAAAGGCTCAAAGACGGTTCATCACCGTTCGGGCAGTCATCAACACCGCTCTTTCGGATGGGTTCGAAAACCCATGGCCAAGTCGGGTCAACAGACTTACAAATATCGCATCCACTAAACCAACCAACATTCCACAAGATTGCCATTAAGGGGTCGCCATGGTTTCAATTCAACGCAAATAAAGTTATAAATTCAAAACCATTTGCCGCTTTACAGAATTGGTGGCAATCACTTAAGTACGCTTAACGTTGATCACAGATGTAAATGTCAGTGGAATTGGAGAAGGAAACTTAGATTAAGGATCAATCAGTACTGAGGTTAAGGAGTTAAAAAGCGTGAATACTGACGACGCTGTAGTGTTTAACAAAGCT